AACATTTTTTAAATTATTTGTGTAGGTGGAAGTTTTTTTTAAAAATGTTCCTACAAGAAAAGGACATTTTAGACTGGCCGATTCTCAACACACTCAAATNTAATGAAAAGGGATGCAAAATCACATCTACACAAAAGAACTGGTCAGGTTTTTCAGAAATCCCCTCAATTCTGACGTAAAATATCAACCCAAAAGGCTGCAGATCTCCCAGTCATATGACCGGCAGATGTCTTATAGGGGTGTCGCAATAAAAGCATATGGGTAACACCACTTTTGGTTTCCCATCAACATCTTACTGATACCAGTGTTTGCCCAGCGGTTGAAATTCAACCACTAAATTAAAGGGGACTTGAGGTGAGTTCAATTAAGATGAAGTGAATTCATGTGAAGTGAGTTTAGATAGGTTAAGGTGAGTTGAGTTGAGTTGAGGTGAAATAATATTAGTTGGGGTGAGTTGAGTGGACGGGAGTTGAACTTAGAACATACCATAACATAACATAACATAACCCAACATAACAAAACATAGCATACCTCATTGTTCAGTTTTATCTTCTCTAGTTCTATCACTTTTTCTAGCTCTATCTCTACCGTTTTTAATCCTTATGTTTATCTTTATAATAAATAAAGTATGTATTTATATTTATCTTTTCATTACACAATAGCGAGACACAAATAAATATCACAGCTAAACGAACGAACACATAAACTAAGTTTTGGCCTCTAGATTACGATGCCGTTTTCAGAAAATCCGCACCACGTTAAAATTTTGAGATATTTAGGAAGGAAGTTTTAGAGCTCTGACGGTGAAATTTTCGTTGCTTATAACACAGTGCTCAGGTTTTGAACTTTTTTTCTGGGCAAAGGTTCTGATAGCTGATCTTAGTTAATTGGGATCTTCTTAATTCAATGGCATCAATGGCCAAATTAGCTTCAGTTTTTGAGATATGCTTGAAAATTTGCTTTAATTTTAACTTTTTTGTTAATGATTCCCTCAGTTTTAAAGTTTTTTTTAATACAAATTTGTATATGACGGTTTTTCGATACTACCTTAACTATTTCTGAAAATCATCGAAATCGGTTCACTATAATATATAGCTCCCATACAACTGATCGTTCAGACATGTGGTTTTACGTTGTAATTCATATTTTATTTCATAATGGCACATTTTTGCATATTTTGACAGTTTCTATTGCACGAATGGGTTTTTAATACCTTTTGTGCAGTGAATGCTGTGGTTTGTTGAAGTCAAAGTGACTGGGTAATGCTTTCCAATAGGTGACGGTCCATACTGCGTCATATTTGACATAAGTTGGCAAGACAAACCACACAAACAAACACAATTTACCTACAGTGTAATAGATTACTTTCCATCTAGATAAATATTTACTTTTCCCTACACAAAATTTATTATTTATATACACTTAGGTCTCTTTTTATGCGGTACATGCATTCCTCAGAATGCCGCACAAAAAAAATCCCATAAAAAGTTCTTTACTTTCATACAAAAGCAGGGGATGCACGTCAGCATTTTAAAAACCCAGAACCGCATAAATTCAGAAATTGCGTGTATAAAATTAAAAAAAATCAATCCAAAAAACCGCATAAAAGAATCCAGTGAGGCAATATTAAGCAAAAAAACTTTTTATTTCTTCACTTCAACACTTATTATTCCATGTAAAACTAAAAATTAACGAAAGAAATAAAATTTTATCTGTATCTTAACCAAAAAAATTAAAAATACTACAATAAATACATGAATACAAAGACAAATTATTAATCAGAAGCATTGTCTCTTACACACTGAAAAAAAATTAACAAAAATTCTCAAAAAAGCGAAATCGATACTGCGAAAAAATGGTTTGAAAAACCGCATAAAAAGAGACCTAAGTGTAATCTTAAATTTTTTTTTGTGCTATTCATGCTACTCTCCATAGCTGAGTGGTAAGAGATACTCTATAAGACCAAGGTTCTACGCCTGGTGAGAGAAACATCGCAAAAAGGTTTTCGTAATAGCGGTCACGACCTATAGTAGCTCTGATCCAGTACTCCATGAACTTACAGGATTTTACACGAACTTGCAGGAAGTTGCAGAAAAAATGCTCCCGTACTCCGAAATCCTCCAAAATCCTGTAAATGAGAGCGACTTTTGGAGAGTTGTGTAGAGAATGAAGTTGCAAGATTTTAACCGAACTTTTTCTTCTGGTAAAATCATGAAAAGTGTCAAGCAATCACAGGTTGACGTTTTTACAGGAAAAATGGTTTTTTTTGTTCCCATACTTTTTGTTGTTACTCACTTTTTACTCTCACTTCAGAGAGTGATTCTGCTGTTTGACGGTTTTATAGGACTTTTCACGAAAAGTATTGGATCAGAGCTAGTATATACTACTGCCATGACAAAGCTCCTCAAAATAACCATTGGCCGTTCGGAGGCGCAGTAAAAACACCCAAACGACAGGAAGAAAAGCTCAGCCAAACACTTGGTAAAAATGTGGGGGCCAAATTGTAATACCCTCAACTCGACCGGCAAACCTTCGACGGTATTTCTGGCTAAAAAATTCTTGTCATAAGAGACTATTTGCTGTTTGTTAGTAGCGTACAGAAGCTCAAATGTTTCATTTATTAATTTTAGAAATCCAAATTCCTCTGGCATGCCTATGCACACAATTATCAAATATGCAAGAAAAAAAACGACGAAATCCACTAAAATGAGCAACGGATGCATGTACAAACTTCTGTACTAATTTCTTTCAAAAAATCATACATATCCACCATACCTCCTGGAAATGATATGTTAGTAATTGCAGCAGCCATTACTCAAGGTTTTGTATGTGCCGCAATTCATGCAGGAATTAATTTTACTTATTAAAGCCAGCCGCTAGACGTAAACTGTGCATTAAAAGGGGAGTTTTCAGCAGAGCACGTCTAATTTGTTCTAAAGTTTTGAAAACATCTGGTATTTCTCTGACTATTATGTATGTTTTTATTATCAATTGTTTTAAGTTGCATTTTTCCTGCATTCATCATTTGCTACGCGATCGTTTAGGTGTTTATATTTTTTAAACCTACAATTCTAAAGCGTAGAAAACTATCAATATTATGTTCATGCATTAGGATGGTCCAAAAAGAGTAAAGTCGGAATTTTAATGCCTTCAGCCCCTAGGATTGTTCTATATCGAAAAAAGTATACCCCTATTTATTTTTTTATTTATTTTGAAATCAAAAAATATTTAGAGGTCGCTCAAGGCGCGCAATTTTTTCCATGTATTTTGTATGGGGAAAAACAACTGTTCGTTGAAATGGTAAATAATTCTTGAAAATCACTATTTTTAGATCGGAAAACTCAGGTTCTCTTCAGCAGACTTTTGATAGTGATACTCAATTGTTTATTTAACCATTTTTAAATATTAACCAATTTTTATTAGTCCCCTCATTACATTTTTTGGGGTTTTTGGCGGACCTATAAATTAAAGTTACAAGGAAAAAATGGTTAAATAAACAATTGGGTATTATTATTGAGAATCTTTTGCAGAGAAACAGAGTTTTCCGATCAAAAAATATTGATTTTCAAGAATTCTATACCATTTCTAAGAAAAGTTTTTTTTTCCCCCATACAAAATACATAGAAGACTTTGAGCGCCACCTCTAATTTTTTTTTGATTTCAGAATAAAAAATAGGCGTATACTTTTTTCGGTATAGAAGGGGGTGAGGCATAAAAAATCTGCATTTACTTTTTCACATGCATTTTTGGACCACGCTAGTATACATACGTACATATATAGATAAATAAACATCCTCATTAATAGAGCAGCAGCTGTCCGTTTGGCTAAATGCGCTCCAGACAAATATGTATATTTGCAGATGTTCAGGTAAACATTTGCTTGTGTACATATTCTGTGCAATAAGTATAATGGAAGGTTTTTTATCATACGAAAAACTTGCATTTGAAAATCAATATACAAGGAGACCAAGATTTCGCTATATATATCGCGAGAATTCAATACATTTCATAGTTATTTCTCAAGATGTTCGCAAAACGAGTTATCAGCGCACTATTCGCCTTCCAAGTTATTGCTGGCGTGGTTTCACAATCAACGGCAGCCGCAAGTGGCACAAGTGACGTTTGGTTGGATGTAGATGACTACATCCGTGAAAATCGTCGTCAGTACAATGCGACTCTCAAAGATTATCTGGATCAAATAAATAACGTCAAGAACAGCCTGGAAGATCAGTTAAAAGTGTTGGACAAAGAAAAAGTGCTGCTGTTGAATACAATACAGGAAACGAATGAATTTATCGATCCATTGGAGGTACTCAGCTTGCCTACCCGATATTGCGTAAAACAGTACCGTGAAGAAATTCCATACGCTACTACTGTTAAGTCTTATATTGAGAGCTGCATCAGCACCGCTCGTAACTATGTCAGTAGTATTGTCAGCTCACCCAATAGTTATTATAATTCGTTGTCGAATTACTACAATAATGACTTGAAAAATGGTTTGAATAATTGTGTTAAGACACACAGCGATCTTAAATCTTTGAATTACACACTTTGTGTCACATCAGTGGTAAGTAGACGTGGGGCTGATATTATATGCACCAGGATAACTATAATGTTTCTTTTTAGATTTCTAAAGTTAACACCTACACCATCTCCAATCGTAAGAACTTTGCCACAGCAATAACATCGTCAATTTTCAGTTTAAATAATTATGTCAATACTGCTGTGAACTGCCTGTACTCTCAGTACAATCCTGGATTGAAATCGATCGGAGCAGCCTCTCGCCTCATTCATAATTGCCTTAATGGGTATCTGGAAAACGATTCCCAAAACAATAACAACAATGTCACCATCTACGACGGATGTCCGAATGTGATCTATATGCAATTACAAGATCTGGATTCAAATAATACTACTGTAGGAAATCAGTTGCGAGCTAGAAGCCTGACTTGTCTGGAAATAAGATTTGTTTAAATAAATACACAAAAAAAAACATGCATCTCGAAATGAAGCCGTAAAAAAAGGACGAAGGGAAATGTACAAATCTATCTAACTTCTTATCAGATATCGTATAATAATGTTGTCTTGAAATAAAGTGAGCTTAAATAAGTAGCCGACTTGCAAACAGCGTTATGTGATTTTATAATAGTAAGCCATAAATTAAAAAACGTCTACAACAGCAAGTAAAATCCAAATTGTATCTTTTTTTATTATCTGAATATTTGGATAAATAAGAGCCTAATAACATTAAATAACAATATCGCAGTGTGATAGTTTTTGCAAATTTTATATATAAAAAATTAGTAATGCGAGTTTTGAGATAGTAACTTTTACATAACTAGCTCTTTTTAGCTTTTCGCGTTTTCTCTTCCATGAAGATTAGTCCACTTCTTTTTTACGACGTCTTCCACTAGGCACCGAACCTACCACGTTTTCTTGCAGTTTTCTAAGTTCATCAGAAAATTTAGACTTTTGAACTTGTATTTATATACGTACAATAAATATTATAGCGACTTTTGAAAGTTTATCACAGCGCACGGCAGTGCGCGCGAGTGACGAAAGCAGCCACAGTAGCATGCTGAAGGTACTCGCTTTTATATACACGAAGTGTGTCCAGAAAATGTATTCAAGCTTCATAAACGATTAACCGGATTCTTAAAAATTAGGCTAAAGTGTTGCGAAATAAAAAACGTGTTTTTGCTTTTGCCGGTTTAAGGGGGCATGTGGATACACCCAACTTATTTAGTGTTATTCTATAGGCCAGTACCTTTCAAACGATACCTTATATATTAAGTTCCGGCTACTAGTTGGAAAAATATAGACGTAAATGTGTTTTCGTGTTCGTGTCTCCACTACGAGATGCTTTGGTATGTATGTATTCATTTAATTTCTTTCAAACTTTCAGGAATTAAAGTACAAAAAAATACCAAGAAGGTTTTGTTCCACGATGTCTTGAATCGAAAAAAGGCAATTTTTTAAACTACCACTGAGGCCGCACAACTCAGTCCATGTCATTGATGCGGATATCAGTAGAAGGGTCTTCAAACTAGCTATCTAACGCTATCTTTTGCTTATTGTTTTGTTTATAAATTATAAATATGTCATAACGTTATCGCCTGAAAACTAAAAATCGGGCTGCTGAAAATAGAGATTTCGGGAATTTTATAAAAATAAACTACGAGGCAATCAGGCGAATAAAGTTGCTTATTGTATCCAAAGTTGGTACCAAGTTGATACGTTTTTATCATTTCTCATATTTTTTTTTAATTTTTTCGAATACAAAGGATATGCTCATTCTTTTTCGCTTTATTCCGTATTCGAAAAATTATGTTTCAATGGACACATCGATTTGAATACATAATTTAGATTTAGATAATAGCAATTCATTTGAGAAAAATAAAACATTTAGATTATTGTTGTTTATTTTCGTCGATTTTAAATTTGCTACCCCAAAATAATTGATATCAAATAAAACACCTCTTTGAGGTAAAATTTTCGAGTGACGAAAGCTGAACGAGAAACACAAAATTTATGATATCAGTTTCGTGACGAAAATTATACGCATTTTTTAAGTGCCTTTGAAACGTACGGAAAAATCTTTTTTTATTTATTCGGAACGTTGCGAAATTCTGCTGCGAAAGTAATCTGCTAGAAACACAAAATAAAAAACGGAACTTTTGCAACGATTCGTATAAATAAAAAAGATTTTCCCGACGTTTCCAAGTCAGTTAAAAAATGCGTATAATTTTCGTCACGAAATTGATATCATAGATTTTATGTTTCTAGTTCAGCTTTCGTCACTAAAAAATTTTACCTCAAAGAGGCGTTTTATTTGATATTACTCACACGCCATATCGTAGATGGTCGCATGATAAAAAAATATGAAGGTAGAACCGCTGAGAGGAATTTTTCAAATTCTTGACGTTTGCAAGCAATTTAATTTTGAAATTTTACACACAAATTCACACAACATTCTCATTTTCAATCTCAAACAACAACTTCGAACGATTTCTTGTTTTTACTCTCAATTTTATATGATTTTAAAATGTTGGCAAACTTCAAAAAAAATCTTGGCCGACGAATTGAGAGAACGGTTTTACCTTACTATGTTTTTATCATGGATGGTCGTGCTCGTACATACTCGTACGTGGCGTATGAGTAACATTTTCCACGTTAAAATTTGATTTTTTCGTTCGCAGGGCAAACTTAAAATAAAAATATCTTGGCGAGATGAACTGATCTAGATAAATGGATTATCGAGTTGGTTGTAAATGGACAACACGGATAGAATATGCAGGCAATATGTATATATGTACATTAGAGTGACCATAGCGTTGTATGAAATATTTTATTAAAAGTCGTGAATTTAAAGGTTTTCGCATGAGGTTGGGAATGCAATTACGCATGAAATCTTTCAGAATGCGTGTGTGTAACTTTTACACAACGGAAAATAACAATATTGAGCATGGTGTTCGAAATTTGCACATTTCGAAAAAATGAAACGTTCTTGTATGCTCCCAGCTTTTTTCTTTACCAAAACTTCTATAAAATGACTTTTCCAATGAACAATAGAAGTCTGAAATCAGCTAAAAAATTAAGAAACCCTTTCTCCATTTCAAACATTTTCGAATTACAGACTTAGACTTAATGAAATAAGTGAACAAATTTGGTAGAAATCGATTAAGCCCTTTGTAGTCATAAAGTGGGCGGTGCCACGCTCAATTCCTAAAAGTCTATAACAGTATTATTTATTATTAAGAGATTGTTGTAAGTATATACTTGGAGTAAATTAGCGTCGTCAGTTATTGAAATGTTGGAGTTTTCGTATTTCTGAAATTTACCGTTATATGGGAAGCGGGTGTAATTTTAGACCGATTTGAATACTTTTCAATGAATTGCTTTCCGTACCAAGGATTGTTAAGTTCGCCTAGTTTGGCAGAAATTGATAAATCGGTTTTCGAGACACACGTTGTGGTCATAAGCGGGCGGCCCCACGCCCATTATCCAAAAATTTATAATCAATAACTTTCGAGTGAATTTCAAGCAAATGCGCTTTGAATTTAAATTGGCAGAGGTTGATTCTCACTGGGAAGTGAATTGCAGAACCTGCTTGAATAATCTAATTTTCAGCTAAGTATTCGATATTCGAACCCGGACCCTCCTTTTTTGTGGCATTTGCTTCCATATAACGAATAAGCACAATTTATTTTTTAACCGACTTCCGATTTTTATTTTTTTTTTATGCGGTAACATAACTTAGGACCACGTCAACCGATTTCGATAATTCTTTTTGCATCGGAAAGGTAGTGTCAGAGGTGGTGCCATACTGATCTGGTTTAGATCCGATCATTAGATCATGAAATATATATATATATTTTTTTTCTTAAGTCGTTTTTTTTCCTCAAAATTACTAGTATATGGAAGAAATCCGCAACACCTTCGGCGAAAAAAATCAACGGTAACTTTTAGCTGTGTTTTTTTTTACGCGCATATATATCTACACTTAACGTGTAAAAAAACAGAATCATCGACAATTTCCATTTCAAAACAAGTAATTTTGATTTTATCGAC